TTTTTTTTTTTTTTTTAAACAAGGTCTTGCTATGTAGCTCAGGTTGGCCCCAACTCATAGCGATTCTCCTGCCTCAGCCTCCTTGGAGCTGAGATTACAGGTCTGGGTCACCATGCTTAGGTCTCTTGGTGAATATTCTTGTATTTATTTTGTAGTATAGGGGATTGAATCCAAGACTTATGAATTGAGGTACATCCCCAATCCTTTTTATTCCTTGAGACAAGATCTTGCAGAGTTGGTAAGTTGCCTAAGCTGGGCTTGAACTTGAGATCCTCCTGCTTCAGCCTCCCTGAGCACTGGGATTTGAGGCCTGTGCCATCACACAGGGCTTGCTAAATATTTTTTAATACCTCGAGGTGGGCAGAGCGTGGTCAATGAACCCAAAGGATCCCAGGGGCTTTAGGGACAGAGGTGGGACTACATCATCCTCTGCCGGCTCCCCGGGGTGGCAGGGTCCTTACGTCGGAGGCTGCAGCAGCCTGGGGTTTACAGCAGATGTGCTTCCTCAGGCCACGCTGGGCAGTGATCCCAAACCAAAGGTGCCCTGTGTCCTGGGAATTCAACTCTGTACAGACCACCTGGTCTCTAACTGGGGGAGGTGTCGCGCTTCTGGCCTGCCTTCTGGAAGGTTTCCTTAACTTACAATTTAGGATGTTTTTGTGCTGCTGGGGAGGGACAAAGTCTTGACCACTAAGCTGCGTCCCCAGTCCTCTTTAAAAATACAGAGACAGGTTCTCGTTAAGTTGCTCAGGATGGCCTGGAACTTGCGACTCTCCTGCTTCAGTCTCCTGAGGAGGGGGATTGCACTGCAACTGGCCCAACTCCCTTTGGAGCCCCTTCCCCCGTCTCCTTCCGGTCCCTCAACCTCCTGCCCCAGCTGCCCTTGGGGTGTCCGAGGTGGGTGCTGCTGCAGAAACCCACTGGGCATGCGGCCTACCCTCAGGTCCCCAGGAACCAGACCTGACGTCTGGGAGAAAAAGCTTCAGTTCTGCCTCAGGACTGGAAGCAAGAAAGCTGGAGACCGCAAACCTCGAGGTCCAGTAAACGCGGACATCTTTTTTCTTCTTTTTTTGAGACACAGTCTTGTTATGCAGCCCAGGCTGGCCTCGGATTCTCAGTGATCCTCCTGCCTCAGCCTCCCCAGTGCTGGGATTACAGACGCGCACCCCCACACCCAGTCTTTCCCTGGGAAGTGTTTTCAGGTTTTTCTCCTGGGCTGCCTCCGTAATCTCTGGATGACAGGAAGCCACTGGCCGATTGCCTGAGTCCAGCCCTCTTGGTACCACGGGTTGGAAAGAGCCCAAGCCCTGAGTGTCCCCTGCCCTGGCGGCTGTGCCAGTGTGGGGAGACGGGCCCCCTGCAGAAGGCCCAGCACCGTGACAACCGCGGCTGCGGGCGGCCCAGCCCGGAAGTGCCCGACCGGCTGCATC